AATTAAAAGAGAACAACTAGATATTGCAAACTAATATCATTAAATGTTTTTTTGACTCACTCTCAAAAATGATAAAGACATGTACAGGAAAGATAAATCCTATATTATTATCACATTTAATAGGAAATTAATTTTATTTTATATCTCCTTTAATGGAAATGGATTTCCAAATAAATAAATCAATACACTTAAATTTTTCATTCATTGAACCTTAATCTGTTACAAATAAATCTCTTCCCTTGGGAGAAAAAGGAGCCAGGAGATCAATAACCATTTTATTTTTTTGAAGATAAATCTGATCAATAAGCTATGCATGAAACATTTAACTCCAATTTTTTTTTAAAGAAAAAAATATCAATAGAATCTACGAATAACTAATTTATTCCCTCAAATTTTCCTTGACTATATCGCAGTTAAAAAATTCAAACGAGGCAGTGCGTACGTTGTTGTTTTCAAATTATAGCGGGACATGAACTTTTAGAGAATTTATAAGAATGTGATTGCAGTTTATTTTTAAAATGTTTTTTTATTTATAAAAGTATATCATTAATATTTTTTAAATTTTAAAAAATTATTTTTCAAATCAATACATCAAAATAATTTTAAAATATATCAATTCAAAGTAAAAATAATAATTTTTTTAAATGCTTTTAAAATACAATATCAAACATGCCCTTAAAAATGTCTCCTGTATGAACAAGGATAGCCTTCACATCTGGTGAAGAAAGATTCAGAAAAATATGAGATATAGGTAGAAAAAAAATATTTTATCGTGATCCAAAAAAAAGAAAGAGAAAAGAAAAATAGTTTGTTTCTCTCTGTTGTTACTATACAGGCAAACTCATAATTGAATGATAATTTAAACATGGCATTCACTTTCTTTTTTTATATAAAATAATTATTTTTAGCTATACTTTTTGTCCTCCTCTCTTTTTCTCACTTGAAATTAAGAATGAAATATATTTTAAGGATTTTTTTTACCCAGAGCCTGCAGCTACTACGTTGAAGGGGGGTATTTTGAGGTGTGATAGTCATTGTTTCTTAAGGTATTTTTAATTTTTTAAAAATATATTAAAATAATATTTTTAAAAGTTTTTAGGATTTAATTTTGTTATCAGTAAATTAAAATAACCTAAAAACATTTAAAAAAAATTGTCCAATTAAAGACAATACCTTTTGATTGGATTTTTTTTAAAAAAAAAAGAAAAATCAAAAGGATTAGTGGATGATCATTGTCGAGAGATGCTGGGAGTAAAGAAAAGGCCTTGCCAATGAGACATTTTCACCTGGTATTCATCAGCTTGGCTGTGGTGTTTCGTAAAGAGCAACATGCACAATTGCAAAAATAATACTAGCGATAAATTAACAATAATAAAGCAAAAAAGGTAGAATTTCTAGAGAGAGAAAATTATTTTTTTTCATAAAGGAAATAGCCAGTAATGATTTTTTCCCCTTTTCCTTTTAATTTGTTACAAAAAACGAAGCCATTTTCTATATCAAAGATTAAAAAAGCTTTGAGTGCGTAAATGGCAGTCAGATTCCCACCAAGTTTCAAAATAAAACAGAGTAATGATCTTTTATTTATTTATTATTCCTGATTAAGACTCTCCAATCGATCCACGCATTTTTTTCCCCTCAATTCTCTACCTCCAGCTATTATGACAAATAATTAATTCGCTGTCATTATGTTGTATTTGCACAAGGCTTTATCCCAGGCAACGATCGAGTGGTTTTGGTGCGGGGAGGCGGGCATCTCGTGCGGCCTTGGACTGGTACACCGGCAATTTTGAATCCAACTGGCTCCAGCCCACCGGAGTTCTTCTGTTATTTATTTATTTTATTTACTACTTGGGTTCATTGAAATGCATAATTCAAACAGAAATTCAAAACAGGGAAAGTTAACGTCTTTATTGATGTGACCTTGCATGCACTGGTTTGACCAGATCTCGTGCTATGAAGTTTTTCTTGCAGTGGAAGAAGAGGAAGAGGTCAGTTAGATTTTTTTAGTGAATAATACCATGGTGAAACTAGGAATTGTGTTTTTCCACGAGTAAAGAAATTGGAAAATTACGAGGTAGATTAATATGTTTTTATTTTAAAATATAAGAAAAATTGAAAAGTATTAAAAAAATCTTGAACGAGTGAGTCTGGTTTAATTATTTATATGAACAATAAAATAAATTGGTATTTTTTTTAATAGTTTGGATAACAACTCTATATTGTAACTCAAGTGATCGTAGTCTAAAGGCGTTAGATTCAACCAACATGGCAACAATATTAATTTTAATGGGATAAATGAGCTGTTATTTTGGCCCTGATTATTTGCAAGAAAATAATTTTATTTTTTAAAAATAATTTTAATTTTTTTAAAAAATAAATTATTTTCTGATATTTGGTAGTGTCATGAAAAGTAAATTGAAAAATATTTTTCAGTATTTGGTTATGTTATCAAAAATGAGTTAGAAAATAATTTTTTTTTCAAGTTTATTAAAATAATAATAAACAAATCTTATAGTTTAAAAAGTTGAATGTGAATAGAATTAAAAAAATATAATTTCATAAATTATATCAAATAAAATAAATAATAATTAAAATAATAGAAATCAAATTTAATAGATAAAAAATTAAAAAATAATGAAATTAAAATAATTATAATTATAATTTCATAAATTATTTTAAATAAAATAAGTAACAATCAAAAGAATGAGGACGAAATTTGATGGGTAAAAAATTTAATTTAAAAAATGATAATAAAAAAGTAAATAAAAATCATTAAAATAAGAACTAAGATTAATATAAAAATCAAATTAAATCAAATTTTAAGGGATGAATTTGAAAAATAAATAAATAAAATATATAATAATTAAAAATTTAAGGACCAAATTTGATATAATCAGTAAATAATATTGTATTTTTAAATTATTCATAATTTTTATTAACCAACTTTTTTAATAGCAAAGAAATACAATAAAATTTAAAAAATAATTTTTTAAAAATAACTTTTCAAAAAACAAACACAATTTTATAATATTTTTCAAAAACAAACAGAAAGGGATCACCTTGTTTAAAAAAAAACTACATGCACAAACATGTGAGTTCAAAAAAGGCCACATGCTTCAGCTTTGTAGCAGCACGTTACATTTTAGTTATTTTAATTTTTTTTTATCATTTGTTCTTTTCTGCTTAAATTGATAGTTCAATCAATGTAAAGTTTTTGTTTAATTTTATTTTTTATATTAAATTAATAAAAAATTAATTTTTATATTTTTTATCATATAAAAATATAATTTAACCTAGTAAAACTTATAATCTTAATTATGAGTTTAGCAAACTATTTAGAATTAACCGGACATTTTTTTTAATTTTATTTTTTAGACTATTTTAGTGGATAATATTAACTTTTATATGATATAATTTAAAAAAATTAAGTGAAAAATTAGACTAAAAGTTTTTTAGTTTGAATTATTAAAGCAAGTTTAATAATAATACTAAAATATTTCATATGATCTAATTTTTTTTATATATATATTTAAAACAATTCTGATTCAGGTTATAGCAATAACGCGAGAACTAGTAAAAACTAACACGTGAAGTAAAGAAAATTAAGGAGGGCAATTGGCCTTGTTTGTCAACGACGATGTTTTAATCGAGCATTAATTTTTGTTCGAAAATTTAAAAAGATAAAGCGACAATTTAATTGAATTTTTTATCACCCTACTTGCATTGATTTTTTATTTTTTTTTAATCTTACGTGCAAAGCTTTGCAACTTACTTTCATGAAAAAAATACCATTTAATTAAGTAGGAAATACATTGTGTTTTTTTAACACCTATCATTTCCATTATAAATAAAAGACTTTTAAATATTTTAATTTATGAATGTTATATATTTTGAATATAATTCAATAATCCATGCAGTTGTTTAGAAACTATTTATATATAAAAAAATTATTAATATTTATTTATTTCTCATCCTTTTTCTTAGTTATTTTTAGTATGCTGTCACAACCATTGTTGAGAGATAGCTAAGCAGCAACTATTAATTTTTATTTTAATTTTGTATTAATATAAATATTAGAATCAACATACACGCCACTCAATTAATTTTATAAATTTTAAAATTAATATTTATTTAAACTTCTAATGACTCTAACCTCTAAAAAAACAAATCTAAAATCTAACTGTGCACCCTGAATAATTTTAATCTTACTTTCTTGGTTGTCCCACATGTAGACATTCTAGAAAATACAGATTTCTTGGAATTCACCCCGGGAAAAAAAAGGAAAGATATTACCAAATAAATATATTTGGTTTGAATAGGTTTTTTTCTTCCCTTTTATCTTGTTGGCCAGTGAAAAACCGGAACCCACAGGAAGAGGCTAGGGTTGCATAGCCGAAACCAACCAGCCAACGACTGGTGTCTTTCCGTTCTTTGTCCGAAGCAAATCCCAGTTTATAGACTATCAAATCCTCCACCATCTCTCCCTTAAAAATAAATAAATAAATAAAAATGATGCATTCCAGCGCTTTCCATGGCCATGAATCCGAGTTCTAGCGTGCTTGTCACCCCTACAGTGTTTTACATGCTTACTAGATTTATAGGATATTCAGTGGGTTGTAAGAATTAGTCATGGTGCGCGCAAGTTAGCCGAATACCCCCATATAAATAAAAAAAATAAAAATAAAAAATAAACATAAATAAATGAAAGCTACGCTGACGGACTTTGCTCCGTATGTTAGTCTCCATTAGCCAAACCCTGCCGCACCTGTTCGCTCTATTTTAGGCAAGTGGTGGCCGAATATTATTAACAATGGCGCACAATCAGACCCAAGTGACCCATCCTGTAAAATATATAATTATTTGATGACATAGTAGAAAATCTTGATTTCGATTACTTTCGTGCTAAAATCTGTCTAATTATCTATAATATGGCGTCATGAAACAATTATAATAAAAATATTGTCCAACTAACCCTCGAATCCCCGAACTGACTGGGTAACTTAACACTTGTTGATCTCTTCGAGATGGCCACTGGGGCATCTAAATGCCTTTCGTGTACAAAAGTAGACTGCCGACGAATTTGTTGAGCGCAGCAAGGGGAAAAGCCCGAAGATTCGCGGATAAGAAGTCCTTTGTTGATTGTGCTCGTCCACCTCTTGACATGTCCTGTCCCTTCCCTGTGTTTTCTTTCTTCGTCTTGAACGACCCTTCTTTTCTATTCTTCTTTTATACTAGAGTAACTAATCTAAAATTTAAATTAATAGCAGCCACGCAGGCTCGGAGTTTAATCTCAAAAATAACTTGATGAATCTATATCAATTGTTTTTATTTAAAAAAATTTTATTTTATTTTATTTAAAAAAATTTCGATAGTCCAACTGAATTTAGATGGTTCAAGTAAATTATTAAAAAGTTAGTTAGGTTTTTTTATTAAAATAGATATTCAAATTAGTTTATACATCAATTAATTTTATAAATTTTAAAATTAATAATTATATAAAATTCTAATAACCAAAAAAATAATCAAACTCCTAAAATTAGGCAGGTTTTACTGCACAATAACGAACCCAGTACAACAAAAAATCCAACTCAAATTAGCCGCGACCCAATCCAATTAACAAATTGTTTGAAGAAAAAAAAAAGAAGGAAGCCGCGATCCTTATCACTGCAGTGGTTGTTGTCGTTGTCGTCTGTTGTTAGTACAAAGTATACTATATTTCGTGTTTGACAGTTTCATCCGAGAGTGGTAAAAAAAGAGCCCGGAAGAATTCATCAGCCCATTGTTGCGGGAATAATTTCCTTTTGGTTGGTTTCCATCTATTGCTTTCTCCGATATGGACTTTTTACAATAATTATTATACATATACTAGAAAAGAAATGTTATTTTCACGTAGAAAAAATGTAATTATACATTTTATCATTTGTTTTTAATGTAGTGTCATGTAGTTATTATAAAATTTTAATTTTTAGGTATTTTTAAAAATATTTTTATATATTTTTTCTCTTTATAATTGATATTTTTATTATTTTACACTTGATATATTTATTATTATTTTTTGTTTTTATTTTTTTGTAATATTTTTTATATTTTTCTTTTTTTTCCTTATATTTTTTTCAAAAAACATATCATTTTCTGTTTCCTAGGCTTTAAATATTTATCACTTTACACTTGATCTATTTATATTATTATTTTGCTTTTATTTTTATTTTTTGTAATTTATTATTTTATTTTTTTCTTTACACTTTTTTTTAAAATATTATATAAAAATTAAGAAAATAGTGTTTTATCACAACAATTGCAATATTGTTCTATTCTTCTATTATATTAAAAATTAATTTATATTAAAAATTAACTTAAGATCTTAGATTTTTTTATTAACACATATAATATTTATTGTATTTTATCATACATGATCATCGATTTTTTAATTCACAGTTATATATTTTACTTAATATAAAAAAACACCAATAGTATTTGTATATTATTTTTTTGTGTTTAAAAAAATATTCAACCTAAAGAAGGAGAGTTGAATAGATATGTTAACATTTTATTTTCTTGTATTTATTAACAAAAATAATTTTTGATGTATTTAATTAATTATGGATTTGTAATTAGAATTTTTCTCTAAAAAAAATACATTTGAACAAACTTGTTTATTTATTTATTCACCACAAAAATTATCAAAAGTACTGCAGCAAAATGATCGTATAAACTGGCTATTGTCCAATGAAACTGAACTGACTCTGGCTTCTCTGATCATGTTGAGGTTTCAAGAAAATGGTCTCAAAAAAGGATAAGTAGGGGAAGTCTAGCCTGTGGAGGCTATGAATTTTTTTATAGATAATCTAAAAAATAACTAGGACTACTTGAAAGTTGAAACAACCATATATCCACACTTGACATAAAGAATTTCGGGGAGTTTTGATAATTTATTGCTAAATATTATCAAATTGATCAAAATTCATCGTTAGATTACTAATTTAATAGTTTGCCTTGAAGTGTATAATTCAAAACGAATCTTCTAGCTGTGAAACTTACGTTCCAAATCTTGCTACAAACAGGTTTATTCAAAATAAAAAAGTTTTAATCTTTTTTTTATATATGCAAATTGCGTGGGCTTTTTGAATTCAGTGTGCTTTCCGGAGGTTTAGAATTCAAGCAATGATGAATGATCGTATACTAGGTGGATCAGAATATTTTAGGTTAATTGTTACTTGTTTTGTGCCAAGGAAAAAATCCAAGGTTGGAGCCTGGGGCAGCTTGAACGTTCCGTGGATACAATAGACTGGCAGAGGCATTAACGTGCCTGTATGGAATTAATTAATTTCTGTAATGGCAAAACATGTGCCAGTTGAAAATTAATTCCGAAATTTGGTTGGGCATGAAATTGTCCAGACGTTGAAACACGAACAGAGAAAAGAAAAGAAACTGAAGAACAAGAGATTCATTTGGTGTTCTCAACCATTATTTTGCCTAATTTCAATAGGATAACACGCTGATCATGAAAGTTTTCTATTTTTCAGAATAATCATTTCTTTTGATATATGGATCAATTTAGAGGATGCATTTTCAAAAATAAAATTTAATTTTGATTAATATCTAAATTTAATAGTATTTGATATTGTG